AACACAAGCTGGGTCCATCTTTTGGTCTCCAAACCAGTTAGACCCTAACTTCCAGCTTTTACTTTGAAGGAACACTTAGTTGGAAACATTTTTCCTGTCACGTGTCTCTGATCAGAACGTTTTAACAATGCAGGTCGGATCAGAACCAGAACTAACGAATCAGCACGTTTCTGCTCAGGTGTCCAGCAGGCTCCTCGGCTCCAGAACAGCTGGGTGGACCAGTTGTCTTTTATTATTAATTAGGACGGAAATCAGGATCAGTGGTGATTTCCTGATGACTAACAACCAGGTCATGTTTCATTTCTCACGTCTTAATGGATGTTTGGACTTTTTATGATTCTATTCCAACAGAAAATATCTTCTAATGAAACATAGTTCCTCCGCGGCGGAGGAATACCACCACTCGTGGTCTGAATCCGTTAATTAGTAAACAGGTCACGTGCTGCAGTTCTCCAGGTGGGACTGTAGTCCTGCGTTCTGCACCCGGATCTGGACCCGGTGTTGTAGAACTTCCTGGGTCGAGCCGAGCTCCTCCGCGAGGAGGGATGCGGTAGCATCCCCCCCGCGCGCGCTCGCACACACACACGCGCACACACAGCTGCCTCCAGAACTAAACTTCCCAGATCGAGCGCGCTCTCACAGTTCACGGTGTCCCAGTTGCGGTACCGACATGCAAATACCTTGCAGGTTCTGGACTCGGATGTCGCTGATTTGTCCAATCAACTCCTCCCGCTCGAACCAGTCCTCCCAGTCGTGTCCAGCCATCCGAACCGCGCCAAAGGAATGGGAACCCAGAGGGTCCGGTTGGAGGCTTTGGTCGCTCTCAGCCGGTAGGAAGACCGTGAAGGTTCCGATCAGGGAACCGACATCACTGTTCCGGATAAGAACCGCTCAGATCCGCGGAGCTCCAGGGGTGATGTCCGCTCCACCTGGTTGGTGCTTCCAGTGGGATGGGCCTAATCCAGGCTCCGCCCCCTCCCGGCAGAGATATTCCATTTATTCTTTCATGGGTTCCAGAATCAGTTTGCTTCTGATATCAAAGTCATTTTTAATAAAGTTTTTTTGTACCTAGTCACATGACCACCAGGAGACCGGAAGTGACATGAGAGCTGAGTGCACCTGTACTGGTATTTCCTGTTATTTAACCAGGAAGGTTCCACTGAGATTAAAAACCTCATTTCCTAGGGAGTCCTGGCCCAGAGGCAGCAACAGTTACAGTTACTAAGTTACAGTTACACAGACATGTTATGTACTAGATTACAGATGGCAGGTGCAACACAGGGAATCCGTCTCAAGGCTCTCAGTCTGGTTTTAAACGTATTCATGGAGATAAACGGGTTAATTTCCAGTGTTCCTGGAGAGAGTGAACCAGAGACCTTTAGCCCGGTTTGGGGCGATCAAACAGAACAGAGTAACAGCTGATGGCTGTACGCAGACGGTGAGAAGTTACACTTCTCTGTGGGATTAAGTTACAGATGTAGGTGGTAGTAATCCAAGCATGGCCTCATAAATGAAGGTGCACCAATGTCCCAACCTCCTGGTGGACCAAGACCGTCCCACTGGAGAACAGTTCACCATGATGGGTCAGTGGTCGTTAGTGATAAACCTCAGCGAGGCATGACGACCACATCGGTCTTACCAAGAGCCTGTGCTGAGGCGTTCGTGTACTAAAGGTCTCTGTAATCCAGATTAGACAGAAATGTTGCCCTAGCTGGTCGTTTAGTTGCCTCAAAAGAGAAACGGTTTATTCAGAAAAAAGAAACCAGTTTGAGTTCCTTCACAAGATGATCTACGTGGGCTTGAAGGAGAGGGAGTCATGGAGCCAGACTCCACGGTGTTTGTGTGTGTGGACCACCTCCATGTTTCCCTCAACAGGGGTCGCTGAGGGCATCCTTAGAGGTTAGGGTTAGTTAGAAAACAACGTTAGCTTAGACTCGTCAGCAGAGACATTTTACCTGCACAAGTGTTTGTTGGACCTCATTAAAAGCTTTCTGCTGTGAACCACGATGTTCAGACGATCCCAGAGTGACAACAGCACGGTCTACAGGGTCAAAGGTCATTGACAGATCAGTAAAAAGTGAAGCCCGTACTGCTTTGGATCCCGAGCTGCGCGGTTTTCTGAAACCTGACTGCAGACTTGGGACACGGTCGTTTGAATACAAGTCTCTCAGTTGTTCGCTCACTAGGGACTCTAGCGGGTTCACCAGGACAGATATCGGTCTGTAGGGTGTCACTACAGCTGGGTCACCGCCAAAAGCAGACGTCCAAACTGATGTTTTTGTTTGTTTTGGATCGAGAGGTTGAGGCTCCGCTGTCGTGTCTGGACCAGAGGGTTTCCTGGGATCCAGGGTTCTAACGATACGTGCGTGCTCTGCAGGAGACACGGGGCCGCTGGGAACCGGTGCATGAGGACACGGGGACAGAGTTGTTTAGGTTAGTACTCACTGAGGTTCTTCAGCGCAGCAGCGACGTTGCATCACCATGGCAACGTCTCTGGCGTCAGAGACGACCACGTTTCTTTTAACGACAGATTATTAGTTAATACCGACTCTTTGATGTTTATTTTCCACTAAAGCAACACATCAGAGGTTTGAAGTTACTTTATTCTGATCAAAACAAACTCAAAGTAAATGAAACAAGCACGATAACTCGATGTGGAAGCTTCCTCACCTGCAGCCAGGTGAGTTATGGTGGGCGGGGCCAGTACTGTTAAGCTGCTGGTTAGCTGCTACAGACTCATCCTTGGTGAGTTTTACCCAAGGGGAAGTTGGTCAGAATCTAAACGGGTTTAATGACCGTAGCGTTCTCCAGGTATCGCTCAGGCTGTTCCTGCTCAGAGGTACCAGGTCCGGTTCTGGTCCCGTTGTGGTTCCTATGTAGGCGGTGGCCCGTCGTAGCGCAGCATGACACTGAAGGATCGAGCAAAGTTGTTGGAGAGGGAACAGCTGTTTCCTTCGTCCATGAGCGGCAGCAGGAAGGCGAGGAGCAGCAGAGACAGGAGGAGGAGCCACAGAAGAAGAGCCAGACGGCAGATCCTCTGGAGCAGCCCAGGGTTCTGCAAACACATCAACCAGAATCAGAACCGACAGCTGTCCGGTTCTCTGTCTCTTTCAGGTGTTGTGTTCATGCACAACCCCGATCCCTACAGGGATGACTCGTTACCGTGGTGACGTTACCTTTTGTGTCTTCGCTCTGGGCGTGGCCTCCTTCTGAGTGCCCGTGGGTTTCTGCAGACACACACATCCGTTATTGTCTCCACCCCCACCAGGCTGCACTGCCCCCTACTGGTAGCACAACAACATGAAACTGGCATGTTGAGGAAGTTCACGGACCACTACCTGATGCGGTCCTCCGTAAAGTCAAAGGTCAATAGCAACAACTACCCGCTAACCAGTAAAGGCAGGACATAAACCACTAGGGTGGAGATGGACATGATGATCAGTGAACTGATCCAGTGGTACCAGAACAACCCGTCAGAACACCGAACAGAGGTCAAGTTCTCATCTAACCTTGGAGCGGGTTATATTCTTGGTTCTGATGCAGCTGTTCTCCTTCAGCTTGGATTTATAGAGCATCCAGCTGTAGCGAAGGTCCTCCACAACTTCATCTTCCCCCTCATCATTCTGATTTTCCAGGAGCATCATCTTGAACATCTCCTGACCTTCAGGCAGTCTGGACCTCAGAGCCTGGGGTGGCAGGAGAACAACAACTACTGAGAACTTTGAACATTACCCCGGGTTTCCACGGGAGCCGTCAGCAGCACGTTACTGCAGCAGCACGTTACTGCAGCAGCACGTCTAGCTGCTGCTTGGCCCCTCCCACGAGACGCGAAGCAGCAGGGAGCAGCTGTCACCGACCGAGCACGAAGTCACACGAGTGACTTCGTCAGTAAACACAACAACAAGCAGGAGAAAACTACAACATGGTTTGTGTTTTATGTTCTGTCCGTTTTATAAATACGGACCTGAAAAACAAAGGAGACCGCTAGCTAGGTGATAACTTCTCACGGGGACGCACAGTTAGTAACCTTTTTTAAAGTAAAGCAACCGGAAGGCAGTACGTTCTTTATTCTGAAAATCTCGGGAGCTTCTCTCCTTTTCCGCGTCAGATTTCCTGTCTTTCCTTCCCCAAAAATGTCGAACTTGACCCGTTTCAGAGGCGTCGCGCGTAGAAAATAGAACCGGCGCGTAAAGGCCGCGACATGCTGCTCCTGAGACGCGGCCGACTCGCGCTGCTGACGGCTCCGGTGGAAAAGGTTCTGTTGACCACAGCGGTTCCTATCAGCAGCTATGACGTGCTGCTGACGGCTCCCGTGGAAAGCCGGGGTCAGACTTATGTGCAAATGACTGGAGAAAGCCAACGTAGCTTTGCTACGAGCGCACTAGCTCCCTTTGGTTTGCCGGGTCGTTCGTAGACGACATTAGTGGCTGTTCTGGTTCTGCTCCTAGCTTTTGAGGGTACCAATACAATCCCAACAACTCAGCACAAGGTTTGTATTCTTATGTGTGTAGGAGTCGTGCTGGGTTGGGTTCTACCGTCCTGGAACCATTTTGTGTTCCTGATCCTTTCTTTTGTTCCACTGTAACTAGAACATCTTTAGAACGTCACTAGAACATCACCAGAAAATCACCAGAAAGTCACTAGAACATCACCTGAACGTCTTTAGAACATCTTTAGAACGTCACTAGAAAATGACCAGAAAGTCACTAGAACGTCACTAGAACGTCACTTGAACATCTTTAGAACATCTTTAGGACGTCACTAAAACATCACCTGAACGACTTTAGAACATCTTTAGAACATCACTAGAAAATGACCAGAAAGTCACTAGAACGTCACTAGAACATCACCTGAACGTCTTTAGAACATCTTTAGAACGTCACTAGAACATCACCTGAATGTCTTTGGAACATCTTTAGAACATCACCTAAACGTCTTTAGAACATATTTAGAACGTCACTAGAACATCACCTGAACGTCTTTAGAACGTCACTAGAACATCACCTGAACGTCTTTAGAACATCTTTAGAACGTCACTAGAAAATGACCAGAAAGTCACTAGAACGTCACTAGAACGTCACCTGAACGTCTTTAGAACGTCTTTAGAACATCTTTAGAACGTCACTTGAACATCTTTAGAACGTCACTAGAACATCACCTGAACGTCTTTAGAACATCTTTAGAACGTCACTAGAACGTCACCAGAAAATGACTAGAACGTCACTAGAACATCACCTGAACGTCTTTAGAACATCTTTAGAACGTCACTAGAACATCACCAGAAAATGACTAGAACATCACTAGAACATCACCTGAACATCTTTAGAACATCTTTAGAACGTCACTAGAACATCACCTGAACGTCTTTAGAACGTTACTAGAACATCACCTGAACGTCGTTAGAACGTCGTTAGAACATCACCTGAACGTCGTTAGAACGTCATTAGAACATCTTTAGAACGTCACTAAAACATCACCTGAACGTCGTTAGAACATCTTTAGATCACCAGAACGTCACTAGAACATCACCTGAACGTCTTTAGAACGTTACTAGAACATCACCTGAACGTCTTTAGAACGTTACTAGAACATCACCTGAAAGTCGTTAGAACATCACTAGAACGTCACCTGAACGTCTTTAGAACATCACCTGAACGTCTATAGAACATCTTTAGAACGTCACTAGAACATCACCTGAACGTCGTTAGAACATCTTTAGAACGTCACTAAAACATCACCTGAATGTCGTTAGAACATCTTTAGAACGTTACTAGAACATCACCTGAACGTCTTTAGAACATCTTTAGAACGTTACTAGAACATCACCTGAACGTCGTTAGAACGTCTTTAGAACATCTTTAGAACATCACCTGAACGTCGTTAGAACATCTTTAGAACGTCACTAAAACATCACCTGAACGTTGTTAGAACATCTTTAGAACGTCACTAAAACATCACCTGAAAGTCGTTAGAACATCTTTAGAACGTCACTAAAACATCACCTAAACGTCGTTAGAACATCTTTAGAACGTCACTAGAACGTCACTAGAACATCACCTGAACGTCTTTAGAACATCTTTAGAACGTCACTAGAACATCACCTGAATGTCTTTGGAACATCTTTAGAACATCACCTAAACGTCTTTAGAACATATTTAGAACGTCACTAGAACATCACCTGAACGTCTTTAGAACGTCACTAGAACATCACCTGAACGTCTTTAGAACATCTTTAGAACGTCACTAGAAAATGACCAGAAAGTCACTAGAACGTCACTAGAACGTCACCTGAACGTCTTTAGAACGTCTTTAGAACATCTTTAGAACGTCACTTGAACATCTTTAGAACGTCACTAGAACATCACCTGAACGTCTTTAGAACATCTTTAGAACGTCACTAGAACGTCACCAGAAAATGACTAGAACGTCACTAGAACATCACCTGAACGTCTTTAGAACATCTTTAGAACGTCACTAGAACATCACCAGAAAATGACTAGAACATCACTAGAACATCACCTGAACATCTTTAGAACATCTTTAGAACGTCACTAGAACATCACCTGAACGTCTTTAGAACGTTACTAGAACATCACCTGAACGTCGTTAGAACGTCGTTAGAACATCACCTGAACGTCGTTAGAACGTCATTAGAACATCTTTAGAACGTCACTAAAACATCACCTGAACGTCTATAGAACATCTTTAGAACGTCACTAGAACATCACCTGAACGTCGTTAGAACAGCTTTAGAACGTCACTAAAACATCACCTGAACGTCGTTAGAACATCTTTAGAACGTTACTAGAACATCACCTGAACGTCTTTAGAACATCTTTAGAACGTTACTAGAACATCACCTGAACGTCGTTAGAACGTCTTTAGAACATCTTTAGAACATCACCTGAACGTCGTTAGAACATCTTTAGAAGGTCACTAAAACATCACCTGAACGTTGTTAGAACATCTTTAGAACGTCACTAAAACATCACCTGAAAGTCGTTAGAACATCTTTAGAACGTCACCTAAACGTCGTTAGAACATCTTTAGAACGTTACTAGAACATCACCTGAACGTCGTTAGAACGTCTTTAGAACATCTTTAGAACATCACCTGAACGTCGTTAGAACATCTTTAGAACGTCACTAAAACATCACCTGAACGTCGTTAGAACATCTTTAGAACATCACTAGAACATCACCTGAACGTCGTTAGAACGTCTTTAGAACGTTACTAGAACATCACCTGAACGTCGTTAGAACGTCTTTAGAACGTTACTAGAACATCACCTGAACGTCGTTAGAACGTCTTTAGAACATCTTTAGAACATCACCTGAACGTCGTTAGAACATCTTTAGAACGTTACTAGAACATCACCTGAACGTCGTTAGAACGTCTTTAGAACATCTTTAGAACACCACCTGAACGTCGTTAGAACATCTTTAGAACGTTACTAGAACATCACCTGAACGTCTATAGAACATCTTTAGAACGTCACTA